CCTATTATAACGGTCCAACTGAAAGCACACACCGTTGTACATGGTGATACTTCTGCAGTCCTTTGGAATGGTTGGACCACACACCTGAGAGGAGACAAAGCCAAGATGCCATAATACAGCAGGTTGAGTATTTTTTGTCACTTAAAGAATTTTTAATTCTATATAAAATCAAACAAGAAATTCCTACACAACTCTTTAAAATCTGCTGACTTTTAGTCTGTTTAAAGGAGAGAGAGAGGGGCAGAGAGATAGAGAGATATAGGGATAGATATAGAGAGATACAATCACTGGTAATGTCTGCAGTTAAGTAACTCACCACAGTGTTTTGTGCTGTTGGATCACTTTTCATTGACAAACCAAGCGACATGTTGACTGCAAAATCTGGTGCTGTATTGAAAGCATTACAAATGTGTTAAAACACTCCTAAAATACACTTTGTGTAAGGAAGAAAACAATATTCAAATTGAGAACTACAAAGTGCCACAATTCATGATAACTATAAGAAGTGGTATCGTCTAGACTGGAAACTGAGATAAACAATAGTTTTCATCTGGTATATTTTCAAAATGAAGGAATGCAAAACAAAACTCAGTTTTACTTTTCTTCGTCACTATTGTCAAAATTTAAGAATTTTTTTCTTGTTTTTATCATCAGTTGGAAAGTTTATTTCATTTTTAAGGCTGAACGTTACGTACTAAGATATCTAATATGGAAATCTACTGTAACTGTGATTTGATTTAAACAAATGTATGTGACAGGATCTATGGATGTCTATTTTTATGGCAAAATACTATCTGAGTTTTAGCACATTTAGAAATGAATGGTTACCTACTTTGAAATTGTAAATCTTGGCAGTTTGGGGGAGAAGTGGTGCACCTGTATATTTTCCCTCTTCCATTTTGTGAATGCTGTTCCAGTGGAGCACTGACGAGCAAACTAACAAAATAAATCTAGTCAATCATGTAAGTCTAGAAAGCAAACTCCATATGTCCATATAGCATAACAGAGATGGTAAATAAATAAAAAATAAATAGCAGTAATGTTAAACATGCAGCTGTAAACCCGCTTTCAACATAACAATGCATGTCCTGACTTACTCTGATTGTCTTTGCACCACCTGGTAGCCAAAACCAGCAGCAGAGTTACTCAGGGTCTTCCAAGCCACGGGATCAATATTGAAACAAAGTGCAGCATTTAACACTGAGAATTAAAGAAGGAAGAACATCAATAACATTTTTAGAGCCACTGTAAAGGATGATAATGTCATTATAGCATCTCTAATTATAATTGTTTATATGCAGTATAAGAGTAAGAAGCAACTAATTCAGTCGATGAGTTTGTTTAATTCTTTTCTTAACTGTAGGTTTCTTTCATTAACACTAGGAAGCGCCAAAGTCACATATCAATATGGAAACTTAAACATTTTCTGATATGATTACTGTACAGTGAAAATCTCATACCACTGCAACCATGCATAACAAAGTCTTTGTTCAGTATAAGTTATTTATTTCTGTTAAACAAAGTCTTCCTTTTTTTAGATGTTAAAAGCAGTCAGTATGACATTGTATAATATTTATACCTCATCAGCATGAGACTCAACTTCTGTTTCTTGTTATGGCCTTAATAAGAGTTAAATAAAAGACTCTCATAGGATCCCCTCAGCATTTATTCACTCTTGCATATGCTATTTATATTAAATATAAAATATAACCACAGTAGGAAAGTTGGGTGCAGTGTCAGAATACCATGCAGTAAGTAAGCTTCACATTTTCTGTAGACCTCAACAAAACAGGCAGGTATATATAATGACTTCATAAACATAAAATGATTATTTTGGATTATTTCAGCTTGTTTTAATCAAGTTTAATAATTTGTTAATAATCAAGAATTTATTTTTTTATAATGATGACTTATGAAATACTTTTTCACTCAGTACACTTCTATAACAGAAAAACATCTTAGTAATGAAGCTATTTTTACAGTCAGAAGTTACACATACAGTCACTGAGCTGATCACACATTTCAGAGGGTAGTTTGGTTCACAGGGGATAAAATATAAGGAAATGAGCATTACAAAAGTATTTTGAGATGATATAGGTTCAATAACTAATAATCAATGTTGGATCTTAACCCTTTCACGCATAGTGGATTTCAATACACTGGACAGCTATTCCAAGGCTGTTTTCTTGTATTTGTGTCAGTGTTGATGGTTTACTTGCACATAAACCACTCTACTGGACACTGATGTGTCACTCCATACACATCAGTTGCCCATCTAAGTGAACATGTAAAAACCTCTTTGAAAAGTACATGTTTAAAAAATGAAGTTCAAAAATCTTTTTTTTTCATGCCTAAAGATAAAAATAATTTAAAAAAATCCTGATTGAAGTTGTCATGATTCATGCATGAAAAGGTTAATACTACTCATTGTACTTTTTTTAAATTTAAAATGTGTCTCTGCTGTATTTACCAGAAACACGGTTTTCATTAAAATAGCAGTCATATTTCTACTGTTTGCAGACATTGATAATTGATAATAATTGAGAATAAATCTGTAGGCACCAGTTTGTCTTACCTGACAAGAATAATGTAGCAATAATTATCGAGTCCATTTTGTCACTCCCAAGGAACGAGGGTAATGATAGATGAACATGAACCTACTTCTGCTGATAGTGTGAGCTGAAATCAAAAATGCAGAACTCATAAAGCAACCTCTCAAAGCTAACACAGTCAGTTAGAGGAACTCTTATGTAGGAGTTGCTACAGTATTAATAACACTGTGTCTTTGATGCTACACAACACTGTGGTGGTGTCGTTTACATTTTATCTAAAAAATCATCAACTTGGTTTTAATTAAACAATAAAAACAGATATAATAAACAAGATTGGAAGTTTATTACTTTTGGAGCCACAAGATGAAATTACTGTAATCATGAATAATAATTAGAATAATCAATAGCCAAAAAAAAACCCCACATTTGACCAGATTACAATATCTTTCCCACTGATCATAGTATGATTAAAAAAGCCTCTTCTTGTAAAAGAAATTAAGAAAAATGAATTACAGCACCTCCAAAATATGAAGCCATGACTTTCAGTCAGAAAGACTTGCCCCCTCCTACTTGAAGGAGGTAAGGGTATCATTGCCACTGGAACTGGGAAGTGTTGGCGAGCAATATTGAATTTGGTATGGTTGATTTTGGTATCGATCAGATACTAAGTAAATACAGGTTCAGTAGTGCATATATAAAGTACCATTAACAATATTTTTTAAACTTAACTATAGGTAAGAACATTGTGACATGATTTATGAGGTGAATCATTATCAGAAAACATCACAATGTCCCATTGTTTTTCTTTGAAGTCTTTTTTTTCTCTTTCTAATTTAAAGCCAAGTTAAGTTTTGAATATTAATCAAACAAGTTAAGCATAACTGTAATGGGGAAGGCTTTAAGACCCAGGGGACCCAAGGGAGGGTATAAAAGAGGAAGTAGCAGCAGGTGCTCTTCTTCTCTCATTTGCACTGACAAGTGGCTTTGAACAATGGTTATGTGAGAAGTTGAAGAGCCTGAGAAGTTTCCATTGTCTGCTACACAAACTGTCAGTGTAAATCTCTGCAGAGGTTCAAAGTACAGGCTGTTTTTCTTTTAGTGTTTTTTTTTTTGTTTGTTACAAGTTTGTTGACATGTATTTGATTTTTATTGTATTTCATCTTTTTAGTATTGATTTTAGAAGACCACATTCAAGTTGTGCAGCAAACATAATAGTCAGCTGGAGGTTTGTTAATTTAATATATTTGACATTAAAAGAAAGGATATTTATGCACTGCAATATTAGTTGGGCAATGTGCAATCCCTGAGCTGGGCTCTTACCTTAGGGAGATTAGGTCTCGCAGAGGTGCTCCGAGTGGATTTGCTGTGATTAAGTTTCATTAGGAGTGATTGTAGTGCTACCAATTATTGCCTGAACTAAAACAATTAATGCATGTGATAAGTGTTCTGCTGGGCTCATATTTATTTGGGGTGGGCTTGTTTCTTTTAAAGAAACAAGCATCTGGGGCTGCCCTCAGGTGATAGTTACATTGCTGGCAGGTTGAACCAATAAGAGTATATTGTGGTCATTAGCGACATTTTTATTGTGATGTTTTTGGTCTATTACAAACCCTTTGTATTTTCTTTTAAAATAATAAACTTTAATGTACCCTGGCTGATCTTGACCCTCTTGTCCCGTTTATTCTGGGCTCGTTCCTGCAAGAGCTTTGGGCGTGCACGGGTAGTACAGAGGCCCTTAGTGGTTACTTGGTGGCTTTTACTCACTACATAACATATGGTTTTTATGATGTTATTTCCTAATTCCAAATATGTACCCGCCCCCCACAAAAAAATGTGGCTATCCAGAATTGGGACCAGTCTCTCCTTCTTCCATCCTCCCCAAACCCCACTCCCTTAGAAACTGTGTCTGCTCACAGACCACCCAAAACAACAATACCGAATTGCAGTTTAAACTCGCTGGCTTCACCCTAGTCCACTGTTTAACCTGGTTTAGTGATTAGCTTTGTGTCAATAACCTTGTCTTAGACACCAACAAAACTGACACCATGACCATAACTCCTCCCAATTTATAACCTATAATTGGTCAGACTCTTACTTCCTTTTTCTCAACTGCTAAATCCAATGTTCCGAATTTACTGTAATGTTTCCTTCCTCTCCTGGTTTTGACCTGCTTAAAAAATCTACTTCTCATTCCCATTTTTCTAAATTTAAATCTAAACATTTCAGCTTTATTGCTGGATGCATATCAATACAAAACTAAACTGAGGAAAATTCTAATAATCATCATCATCATTATCATCTCGGGGAAACGCAGAGAGGTACAAAACCATGAGGGAGGATGCGACATGGAACTGAGGGAGACGTGGATATAAATACACAGGAAGATAATGAGGGACATGGAGGACACAAATAATCCTAACGAGACAGGGCAGGATCAAGCACAACATGACATACACTGACGGGAGACTATCAAAGTAAAACAGGAAGTACACAAAGACGCAGACTGGAGGGGGAGAGAGAAAACGGAGGAGCATGGAGAGCACAGACATGACGAGCAGGGGAAACATGGAAAAAAACAGGAGGGGAAGCAAGGCACAAGAATTCGCAATTAAATAAACACAGAGAGACAGAGGGAGACACAAGGGGAAATCTAATAAACTTAATCTAACAACCTAGGAACCTTAGAATAAATCCTTTAAATAACAAATGAACTTTTAACAAATTAATCTTAAAGTCAATTCTCTAACGTATTGGAAGCCAGTGTAAACGAGCAAAGACTGGAGAAATAGAGTCGCGTTTACTTCTGCCTGTCAAGAGATGGCCTGGAGCATGCTATACAAGCTGAAGACGAGAGTGCAGAGTCTGGCTGATACCAAAATAAAGACTGTTACAGTGGTCAACCTTGGATGAAATAAATGCATGAACATCTTTCTCGAATTCAGAAGATGACAAAATGTTCTTAATTTTTGCAAGGGCCCTGAGTGAAGCGAGTTAAGCGAGTGTAACCAAGCACAAATGTGTCAAATAAAATGGCAAATACATTTATAATGTATTTATTACATCAATTAAACATACATTTTCCCGTTTATTCCCAGACAGGACTTACAACACACACTAATACCCCCAGCTACACATGAGACCTACCAAACCAAAGGTGTGACAAATAACACTACACTGCAAACCGTCACACCCCGTTTAGAGACACTGCAATCACTTTACCTGTGGACACGCCCTCTAACAATTCGTGTCTAAGCACAGCTGGGAATCAGCGCTATGCATTACCTGGAATCTGGGTTGTAAAGGGAAGTGGCATAAACAAATAAACAAAACAAAAAAAAAGGCGGGGGGTGGGGGGTCCGCCCTTACAAAACTCCCCCCAAATCATAACAGCCTTTACGGCTGGACGGACTAACCAAAACAAAATTACAAATCAACCAAAATGACAAAAAAGGACAACAGAGACAGCACAAGAACAGCTGCAAAACACAAAAATTATAGAGTAAAATGTTACCCAATAAAATATCAGTTTCATTAAACCATTTAAAATCACAGATCTAAAACAAACACCCAGTATACCTACAATATTGATCATTTTCCTTAGAGTCAATCTAGAGCTTGATCAATTCCTCCATTAAAACTCCTGGTCACACTAAAAAAAGTCCAACAACATGCATTAAAAATGGGCAACCAAAATAATAATATATCCAAACAAAATGGCAAAAGTCTCTTACCGAACAATATACCCACTCGCACCATAGTGAGTTAACCGCCTCTGGAATTTCCCACAGAAGACCAGACCTCACCCCACACACCCACTACCTTTTCAGAGCTCCTCCGCCAATCACCTGACAGAAGGCAGCGAACTGCCAGGTGACACTTGTTACACGAGTCCGATTCTATATTCATTTTACATTCGTTACGTTTTTAGAATTCATTTTAATTCTTGCTCTCACATACAGCACGCTAAACAGCCAGGCTCCAGACTATTTATCCCAGCTTTTTACCAAGCACACTGTGACTCATAGACTTGGCTATGAGTCACAGGCTTAGAATCTGTTGCTTGTTCCATGTATGAGATTAAAGACGATGGGGGACAAAGCTTTTCAGTCTGTGGCACCACAACTTTGGAACATTCTCACACTACAAGGACATTTAGCTGACTCTGTGGACTACTGTAAAACCCAGCTGAAAATCTTATTGTTTAACCAGGCTTTTTGTTGATACTTTTATTAATTTCATTTATTTGCCTTTGTTATGACATTTAATTTGCTGATTTATTTTGTTCTGTGTACAAAGCTTTGTGACTAGTTGTCTGTGAAAATAAATGTTAACTTATAGAAATGCTGGTTTGAATGGGGAGGAGGCCATTTAAGTTAAAAGGGAAAAACACGAATAGGAAGAAGAAGCCTTAAAGTATATTTTTTTACATCTTACAATGCTGAGATTGCAACCATTCCCCAACATGCACCAAAATATCCGGTCAATTTTATTAGACAAATGAAGTGAGGTAATAATTCTGCTGACATAGAAAAAAAATTCAGAAGTTTTACAGTGACTTCTAAAAGCTAATTAAATTTTGCAATTAATTAACCATCTGGCAGATGGCTGCCCCTCACTGAGCCTGTGTGAGGGCAGTGAGACTGGAAGAAAGCCAATCTGTGGAAGATGGTCAAAGATTTATAACAACTAATGCTTATCTGTGGTGTATAAATGCATATAGTAAAAGTAGGTGCATGAATAAAAACAATTGCATCATGGGAAGCCCTGGCTCAGGGTTACCTGATACCTAAAACTATGTTGGATCAAAAAATAAAGTGTTATGCCTAGTCTTAAAAGTAGAGAGAGTGTCTGTCTTATAAATCCAAACAAGGTGCTGCAGAACCTGAAAGCTGAAGGTCATGCAGCTGTTTGTATTGTATTTCTGTACTGTCATCAATTGTGAATCCTGAATAAAACAAATAAACCACTCCTCTGCAGAAGATCAGTTAGCCATTTTACAACTGTTGGAGTCAAATTGTTGAATGTTGTCATTGTGTTTCTTAAATTTGTAAAGTCTTAGT